TGATTTCATGTCTCACATTAGCTCTTTGATCCACTTTGGAATTTATTTTTGTGTTTGGTATAAGATAGTGGTCCAGTTTCATTCTTTTGCACGTTGTTTCCCAATACCATTTATTGAAGAGACTTTTCCCATTGGATATTCTTTCCTGCTTTGTCAAAGATGAGTTGACCATAGAGTTGAGGGTCCATTTCTGGGCTCTCTGTTCTGTTCCATTGATCTATGTGTCTCTTTTTGTGCCAGTACCATTCTGTCTTGATCACTACAGCTTTTTAATATAACTTGAAGTCTGGAATGGTGATACCTCCAGCTTTGCTTTTCTTTTTCAAGTCGCTTTGCCTAGTTGGGGTCTTTTGTGGCTCCATACAAATTTTAGGATTGTTTGTTCAAGCTCTGTGAAAAATGGTGTTGGTATTTTGATAGGGTTTGCATTAAATATGTAGATTCCTTTGAAGAATATAGATATTTTAACAGTGTTTGTTCTTCTAATCCATGAGCATGAAATGTCTTTCCATTTCTTTGTGGCCTCTTCAATTTCTTCCATCAGTGTTTTATAGTTTTCAGAGTACAGATCTTTTACCTCTTTGGTTAGGTTTATTCCTAACTATCTTATCATTTTTGATGCAATTGTAAATGGGATGGATTCCTTGATTTCTCTTTCTGCTGCTTCATTATTGGTGTAAAGAAATACAACAGATTTCTGTACGTTCATTTTGTATCTTACAACTTTACTAAATTCATATATCAGTTCTAGCAATTTTTTGGTGGAGTCTTTTGTGTTTTCTATGTAGACTATCATGTCATCTGCAAATAGTGTAAGTTTGACTTCTTCCTTGATGATCTGGATGCCTTTTATTTCTTTTCGTCTGATTTCTGTGGCTGGGACTGTTTTGAGTGGTCAGTCATAATGACCCCTTTTCTTGCTACCAAACTTTCAACATATGAAGACTTCTGGTCTCTCTGGGCATTGGCTGAGATGGTGAGGCTGTTCACTAAAAGTGCATACCTTAAGGGGAGAAAAAAAAAAGACTTGACCAGAGTCCTTTGTTTGTCTGTAGTCTGTGACTCTAGGTTCTACCTCATAGTCACATCTGGAACAGAATGAGTTGCCTCTGTCATCGCTCCAATTTTTAAAAGGCTTGGAGGGGTCTTATTAAATTAATGGGTCAGGGCACCTGAAGCTCCTCTTTTACATAGCCTGCCACCATTTATTCTATCTATCCACGTGGATGTGTACTTTCTCCCTTATAATGCCTCAGCCTGGGCACACTCCTAGCAAGATGGCATGCATGCCCTGGGGAGGTGGGGGGAGGTTTTGCTTCTGTCCCCAAAAGCCTGGCATGTGGAGTGACCTCACCCTCCCCACGAGGGACTATGGAGGACTTCCTCAAACCCTTTGTCACACATCATTCGCAGCCTAAGAGACAAAGTACTACATCCCTCATGCTTAGATCAATGGGCATAAGTTTCCAGGTTAAGGCTGGATTTCAGGATGTCATGCAGTGTTTAGCCAAGATCTTGTCATACTTGCTCCACTGCCCACCTGGACCCAACCTGCTTTCTTGGATATGGTGGCAACTGAGCCGCCCATGGGACCATGCCTCCACAGTGTGCACCCAGATGTAGGGCTGTAATTCATTGTAATGTTTTCCCTGGGTCTCAGTCTTTTCTTCTTGTAAACCCTCAACCCCACCCTGATGTGGATGACCCAAACCTTCTGCCGTATCTCAGTGTTGTCACCAACATTGACTTGGACATCCCCAGAAAGCTCTCTGGTATGTTTCATACCTCCTCAGTTCTGGCCTGATCTGCTACCCCAAGGAGGGGCCTTCTGACAGGATGGAGATGAGAGGCACCATAACGAGAGGGTAGCTCTGAGACAGATCCTCTGGCTGCCCTTGTCATCAAGCTGGACATGAGCACTGCCCACAAATACCGAGATGCCCCCTCACGTGGATTCTCCAAGCCCACCACCTGTTCCCAGTGCTGATCACAAAGAGGAAAAGTGAGGAATCTTTGCTAAGACCAGCTGCTGTTTCTGCTGACCCACAGTGTTGATCTTCATGGAGCTGGCAGCCCTGCATGCCCCTCTGTCTGCAACCACCCTGCCCTTAGCAGGGCTATTGCCTGATGTGCGGGGAGGAAAAGTGGCAGTAAGACAGCACAGAGTCTCTCCTGCACTCACTGGGGACCTTCTCCCTTCTGCTGCAATGGCCATGTGAGGAAGGGGCTCGTTACTCCACTTCAGTGGCCCCCCTCGCTGGGGCATGGATGCTGCATTAGCACCTGGGACATCACTACCCCTCCAATTTTTCCCCTCCGCAGTGTATACTTTTTCGCTCATCTAAAGATGAGTGACCTGACTTTGGACCTTCCACCCCTTAGTGGCTCCTTCGCTCCACCCTGGTTTCCTCAAACTTTGCTTGGGGCTCATAGCCCTGTGCAGTGACCTCATACAGGAGAGTGGAGCATCTAGTGGAGTCGACTGACATGGAGGTCGAGAGAGTGGACTCTGCAGCCATCTTTAGCCGTAGCCTTGGGCATACATGTAATACAATTAACATTGTGACTGGCTCAGAGTGCCCTTAATAAGTCTTAGTAATTGTTCACTGTTACTAACAAGTGGTCATCCTACCCTCATCCGCAACTATACATAGATGTCCTGAAGTTGCTCACATGCAACATGGGGTGGAAGAGAAGGCAGGAGGAAGCATGTGAGTCAGTGGGAGGCCTGTTGTTCTCTGAGGAGCTCCAAAGCCTAAGTCAGGGATTTCATCTTTATCTCTGAATAAATTAAGATTTATGCACTCACCTGGAGGTTTATCTTCTAGTTCCTAGTTTGAAAAGAACTATTAATGAACTTACCACACATATATCCTTACCCACCCACCCACACACCCAAACAACATTGACCAGATTAGTAACAGGACATGCAAATCAGAATTTGAAAAGAGGACCATTGTTTTGGAGCAAATTTAAATCTTTCTAAAAATGTCCCATCACTTAAAGAAAGAAAACACAAAGCATACATACATTTGGGAGATGCAGTGTTTGGCTAATAGCAGGGGCTCCCCAGGGCCAGCCCAGATCTGGTTGCCAGTTTAACTTCTTGTTTCTTGCCACTTTATGACTCAAAGAAGATACTTCTGAATTTAAGAATTTTTAACAGCTTTCTATTTGAAGGGCAGGTTACTTATTTAAATTTTGTAGGCCTCACACCCCTTTCTGATTAGGTATTAATAACTTTGCTTTACCTACCCAGTTAATCTACAAAGTAGATAGGGGTCATGTGATGACCTTCTGCCAATAGAAATGCACTCTGAGGGTTGGTTTATTTATCCTCTTTAACCCAGTGGGAGCGGTCCAAGGCTACATACCCACAGTGTGGCCTATACTATTTTTTAAAAGGAAGTCCCCTATTCTTTCGTTTATCAAGCCTTTGGTTGGCTATCTGTGATTTCCAAATTGTTTTCCCCTTTAGTTCTTAATTTCAAGCCAGCTCCCTGATCAGAGCTTAGATGTAGAAGCAGGAGGCCTTAAGTAAACTTTTCATCACTAAGTGAAAAAAGTCTGTCAGGATAATATAACATTGTTTAAGTCTTTTGCTATTTTTTTTTTAAGATTTTATTTATTTATTTTGAGAGAGAGAATGAGATAGAGAGAGAGAGCATGAGAGGGGGGAGGGTCCAAGGGAGAAGCAGACACCCTGCCGAGCAGGGAGCCCAATGTGGGACTCGATCCCAGGACTCCAGGATCGTGACCTGAGCCGAAGGCAGTCACTTAACCAACTGAGCCACCCAGGCGCCCAAGTCTTTTGCTATTTTTAAATAATATTTTTCTCTCTATATAGAGATCCATATTCATTTTAGAAAATTTAAGTTTTTTTCCTATCACCGTATGAATGTACACTCACAACACACATATATTTTAACATTTTGCAAGTCCTTCTTTCCCCACTATTTATTGTGATAACGTCATCAAATAATGAGAGATTACTTTGACACTGTTCTGTTGGCTTTAGTTATAGATACACTCCAGTTTGTTTAATGAAAGTCTTGTTGCTGGGCATTTAGGTTCTTGCCAATTGTCACTGTTTTATTAATAAGATAACCTTCCTTCTAAAGAAATCTGTGTGATCTGTTTTAAATATATGACCTTTTGTGTCTGGCTTCTTTCACTTAGCATAATGTTTTTGAGGCTCCTCTGAGTTGTGGCCGGTGTCAGCACTTCATTTCCTTTTATGGCTGAATGATGCTCCATTGTATGTAGGTATTCAAATTTGCTTAGCCATTCATCATCTGATGACATTTGGGCTGTTTCTACCACCTTTTGGCTATTGTGAGTAATGCTGCCTTAACATGTCTTTGTTTCTTTTCACTTCTTTTGGGTATAAATCTAGGAGTGGAATTGTTGGGATCTTTGGTAATTCTAAGTTTAACTTTTTGAAGGATTATGGCATTTTTAAAAAACAGACTTAATTTCAGATTTACAAAAAAATTGAGAAGGTATTACAGAAAATTTCCATATATCTCACACCCAGTTTCCCCTATTATTAATATCTAATATTAATGTTACATTTGTTATAATTAATAAACCAGTGTTTATATATTATTAACTGAAGGCCATACTTTCAGATTTCCTTAATTGTTACCTAATATCTCCTTTCTGTTCTAGGATTCCATCCAAGATAGCCAATTACATTTAGTCATCATGTCCATACTTTAGATTTCCTTAATTTTTGCCTAATATCCCTTTTCTATTCCAGGATTCCCCCTAAGATAACTATTTACATTTAGTCATCTTGGCTCCTCTTGGCTGTAACAACTTCTTAGACTTTCCTTGTTTTTGACGACCTTGACCATTTTGAGGAGTGCTGGTCAGGTGTTTGTAGCACATCTGTCTATTGGAATTTCTTCTCATGATTATCCTGAGGTTGCCTGCTTTGAGTGGGAAGACCATAGAGGTAGAGCACCATTTTCTTTCTTTCTTTCTTTTTTTTGTTGTAAAATCAAAGTACTACTTTATTAAATGAGTTATTTTACACAATATGAACATCAATATAATTACAATTGTAAAAAAAATTTTTATAACAAGGATGGACTGATTTTCAGATTTCCAAATCAGAGTCAACTGTACATTTACACAGAATTGTCTTTGCATGAAGCCTGAAAGGGAACAGCATAAAAATGAGTGTTTCTGTAGCACCTTTATTTTTGCTGATCAACAGTTTGCTAGAAAAGCAGCTGCAGGTTTGTTACCTAAGTTCTGAGACAGTAGAAGAGTCAAAGGTGTCATGAATTCACCTGTAAACAACTTTATGCCTGAACATCAGCCAATTCTGGAGGAAGTGGAGTCTTAGGATGCTTGCTTTCAAAGTGCTGCTTGAAGGTCTTAGGGTCTGGCATTTGTGTCCTACAAACAGTGCAGGTATATATCAAGGCAGCTTTGGCAGCAGGCTTTTGGTCATGTCCTTGTTTCTTCTTTTGTCCAGCTTGCTTTTTGGCATTTTTCTGCCGAGACTGAATCTTCTGCTGTCCACGAGCCATATCCGGGCTGGGACAGTCTTGCGTCGGAGAGACCGCGCAGCGCGAGAGGGCCGGGGGAGGTGGCCGGAGGGAGAGGAAGGGGGAGAGCGCCCAGCACCGCTTCGGCCTCCTCCACCCGCCAAGGAGGGGAAAGAGGAGAGCACAACAGCCTGCTCCTCGCACCCACCGCCGCCACCGCCCCGCGCGCCCCTAGAGCGCCATTTTCATCACATTGTATCAAGGGTACATGCTGTCCGTGTGACTTGTCACTGTTGATGCTGACCTTGATGGCCTGTCTGAGGTGCGTTTGTCAGGTTTCTCCACTGTAAAGTCCTCTTCTTTCCACTTTCCACACAGACCTCTTTGGAAGGAAGTCACAATGTGCAGTTCATTCTTAAGGGGTCAGTACTGTGCTCTACCTCCTTGAGGGCAGAATACCTACCTACATAAATTATTTGGGATTTTTCTCCATAGGACATTTGTCTCTTCTCCACTTGATAGTTCATTCACTCATTTATTTATGTTGATATAGACTCATGAGTATTTATTTTATGCTTTAAGTTATAGTCCAATGATACTTTATTTATCTTGTTGCTCAAATTATTCCAGATTTGGGCACTGGGAGCTCTTGCAGTTGACTCTTGTGTTCTTTTGACATACCCCATCACCATGTGGGTTTTTTGGTTTGGTTTGGTTTGGTTTGAGCAGTTCCTTAGTTCCTGGCACCACAAAAGGCACTCAAGCCCATCTTGTATATTTCTGTTTCAGTGCTAGAATCAGCCATTTCTCCAAGGAGCTCTGGTTTCTTTATCAGAGAATGGAACTGGACACTGAAATCTGGGTCCTTGGTTTTATGACATTTTTGATGTTCAAAAACCCATGGCATTAAAAAACAAAAACAAAACCAAAAAAACCCATGGCATTAAACTTGATTTAGTAAAATTATTGATATTTTTACTCACTATTTTCTTGCTTTGCAAGAAGGGTAACCTTAAAATACTTTCTCCTTTCTAAGAACAGATGGATAGATGATGTAAATTAGACCAAATAACATATATGCTTTTAATTATTTCTTGGCTATATTTTTTAACATTTGAATCTTTAAGTATATAATCTATATTTTTGGTACATGGTATCAAGTAGGTGTTTTACATTTTTCCAAAATATATTACCCGTTCTCTCAATAGGATTTGTTTTCTACTTTTTAAGTAACTTTTCCTTGGTCTTTGAATCTTGAGATAACTGATTGATTAGATTACAGGTTAAGCTGTGTGAGCTCAGTCTAGTCCACACTGTTCCTTAATACAGTTGAGAGATATGTCACTGGTAAAATCAGAATTGTTTTGCCCTCCTTTTTTGTTCTATCTTAATGAACAGCTTCTAGGTGCAGTGGATGCATGTCTTCTTGCTTGGGAACTCTAGCTTCTTGCTTTGGCCATGGAGCTTTCTCTCAGTGTACCTCTGTGGAATTCCCTTATTGAAAAGCCTATCTGTTCCAATTTAGCAGGAGGTAACTTCAAACTCTCTGTTGCCCAAGTGTTACTGGGGTGTGATTGTGAGAAACACAGTACATGATACATTTTCTGAAAGATTTATGGTCTGTCCAGTACTTTTTCCATGTTACCACCAGGGCAAAATAGAGCAGAAGTGGACTGGGTCTACCAATTTTGGTCCTTTGTAGACTTGTTCTTGTGTTGGTTTTTGTCCCAACCTTGCACTATGGGTTGCTATGAGAACTAGCTGCTCTGAAACTACACTTGGATTTATCCTTTGGGGCTTTATGGTGGAAGATGTGGTCCTTTCCATCACCCTATATTTCCTTTATGCTGGTCTTAGGAAGAATTCTGATCAGATTTGTGGGCCAGCAGAAACTTCCTCAGGGTGGTTGGTGGTTAGTTTTTATCTTGTGGGCACTGTTTCCTCTACCACATGGTATTTCTGTCTCTGGTTTGGGTGATAGGAAGCTCAGAGGCAAATGAGCTTCCATGGTCCACTGAAAGCAAAATCCTTGCCTCTGACTGAATTATTCTATCCTGCTTCCAATTTTTACTTTGTCCTGATTTCCTTTTCCATTCAATTTTCTAGTTTTGGGCTTAGGGTTTCTCTACCTCTGCACTATTGATGTTCTGGGCCACATAATCCTTTCCTGTGGGAATTTGCCCTATGCTTTGTAGGATGTTTAACAGCATCCCTGGCTTCTGCCACTGGTAGCAGCACCACTTACCCCCGGTTGTAACAAGCAAATATCTCTCCAGACATTTCCAGATGTTGCCTGGAAAACAAAATCACTCCTTGGTTGAGAACCACTGGGCTATATGTATTTATGTATTTTTGGCTATAAGACAATGTATAACACTTTAAATTAATAATAAATAATGAAATGAATAAGCCTTAATGGATAAAGAAATGGGGAGTGGAACATTTACATATGGACCTTATATAGAGAGCCTAGAGCCTTTGTAAGTTGCCCAAGCATCACTGCAACTGCTCTGAACCCCTTTAAGTGTATTCACCTAGTGATTCTAGAGCAGCATTTAGTCCATGGAAGTTGTCATGTTTTTATTTATCTTTTTATTATTAATTTTTATTATTATGTTATGTTAATCACCATACATTACATCATTAGTTTTTGATGCAGTGTTCCATGAGTCATTGTTTGCGTATAACACCCAGTGCTCCATGCAGACCGTGCCCTCCTTAATACCCATCACCAGGCTAACCCATCCCCCCAAACCCTCCCCTCTAGAACCCTCAGTTTGTTTTTCAGAGTCCATCGTCTCTCATGGTTCGTCTCCCCCTCCGATTTCCCCCCTTCATTCTTCCCCTCCTGCTATCTTCTTCTTCTTTTTTCTTTTTTAACATATAATGTATTATTTGTTTCAGAGGTACAGATCTGTGATTCAACAGTCTTGCACAATTCACAGCACTCACCATAGCACACAGGAAGTTGTCATGTTTTTAAAGAGAGAGGCTTCTGAAGCAGAGAAATAGAGGGCGTGTAATGGCCCAGCCTTCTCTGGGTACTCCCACTCCACTACAGACAAACAAGACAAGTGAGTTATCAGCAGCCATCATTCGCAGGGCACTGGTCAAACCCCATGTCCACACACGAGCAGGGCTTTCCACTGCTTCCACTGCCCGGTATGGTACGATTCATAATTCAGAACATGTGGACATGGAAAATGAAGGCAAAGAACATGAGTATATCATAAAGATCATAAATGGGACATAAGAAATGGGTTATTTGGCACCTCGGGGGGACTTATTGTTTCTAAAGACTATTTTAAGGCTGCTTTATGTGCTAGTACAATTGTGTACCCCTTGAGCAACTTGCCTCTGTCTAGCAGTGGGTAATGGACATTTTGTACTTTTAAAATTTTCTGTGAAAGACCATTAAAGTTGTCTATCTTCCAAGGAAATCTTTACTAAGCTTTCAAAGCCAGAGCTAAAGAATAATAGGCAGTGCCCAGGCAAGCATTTTCATGTGCCTGTTCTGATTTTTCTAATGGCAATAGGGATTTAATCATGCAAGAATGTGTTGTGAGTTTTTGTGTGTTTTAACAACACTTCAGGCTAAGAGATTTCTCATCAGATCTGCATCAGTGCAGAGGTACAGAAACCCTAAACCCAAAACTAGAGTGAGTTTTACACTGTTTCTGCCTGTCGAGATAGCAACATAGAGCACATTTTGCCCTTTGCTCGAAGAAATGTGATTTCATTTTGCTTTCAGGGCACATTCCTTTGCAATAGAAGCACGATGTATTTTTTCTTTTGTTTTTGCAGAATAGCTGAAATAAAGGTGTTGGGAAACATTTAGAAGCATTTTTAAAAAGCAGAGTTATAAAACTCACTTCTATATTCTTCATGACTTGGGTGTCCAGAACTTGCTGACATCTGTCTGTGGACTTGTGTCAAGGGTAAGCAAAGAGTCATTCAGGGAACAACGTTACTTTAGTTTAAAATCAGGTGTGTCTTCTGTTTTGTTTTGTTTTGTTTTGTTTTGCTTTGTTAAAAAGCAAGTGTGACCCTCCAGCTGCTGACCAGGGTTCCCCAGTGGTGGCCCTCGATGGAGCTATCTCAGGATGTGATTATGAGGAGAGTTTGGGCTGGGAAGGGACCACGCACTGGCCACAGTACTCTTTCCAAAACCGTGTTTTGGTTAATTGCACAATCTTGTTTAGTTTTCAGTCTTCCTTACTTGACAGCACACATTATTTTGCTAGAGTCTCCATCTCTGTCACTAGTACTGTGCCAGGTGCAAAATAGTTTGGTTAATACATACAGGATCAATTTATATTTAGTGATATGGACAATATGCAAAAGTTTTTCCCCAAAAAGCATAGCAATCATATTCATAACAGTTGTTCCCAATTCTTGAGAACATTTTTCTTAATCTTTCGGCAGTTTTCGGTTCTCCTGGAAGTGAACTCTGAGATGCAGCTGGGTGTTTGGGATGTTTAACAGGGAGGGATGTTTAACAGGGAGTGCCTCCAGTGCTGAAATGATCATCAGGGTTGTTTTCTGTGGGGCCCAAATGGCTGGGCCTCTGTATCCTAGTCTTTGGATATGAGTCATATTTGGAAGGGCGTGACTTTGGTTGAGGCAGCTCTCTGCCATTGAGGCTGACCCTGAAGGGGCAGAAGGCAGAGGTGAAGGTACGTGCACTCTCAGCAGCTGGGCCCACACGTACATGCACATCTCTGGGTCCATTACTCCACCAGGTTCTTTCCACATACTATCTCTTGTCTTCACTGTTATCCTTAAAGTCGGTTAATATTTCCTTCAGTTTGCACATGTGGAAGCTGAAGTTCAGAGAGGTTAACAAATAAATAATATAAACTAATAATCCAATTAAAAATGGGCAAAAGACCTGAATGGACATTTTTCCAAAGAAGACATATGAATGGCCAACACACATGAAACAATGGTCAACATCACTCATCATTAGGGAAAGTCAAATTAAAACCACAATGAGATATCACTTGATATACCTGTCAGAATGGCAAAAATAAAAAAAATACAAGAAATAACAAGTGTTGGTGAAGATGTGGAGAAAAAAGAACTTTTGTGCATTGTTGGTGGGCGTGCAAATTGGTGCAGCCACTCTGGAAACATCATGGAGAGTCCTCAAAAAAAAAAGAATTATCATCATATGATCCATCAATTCCACTACTGCGTA